AAGTTCTTAAATCCTGCCAATGACGTCAGTACGGAAACAAGGCTGCTGTGATGTATGATGCTCAGTCAGAAAGTAATGCCTCCTAATTTTTCTGTTCTAAGTGAGGCACAAGCAGTCCGTGAGAATTTTTTTGTCCAAATGTTTGAACCTCCACATGAAACTGAAACGTTGTATGACAGAGACCTGTCTCAGGTGCTGTTTCTGCATGTCAGTGCTTGCCCGCACCCCAGAGGCAATCTCATCAGTTGGATACACTACTGCCCCATCCTCTATACATCCTAGACATGACACCCTCCAATTACCATCTTTGGGTGCCTTTGAAGGACAAATTGTAAAAGTGATATTTATGGGATGATAGCCAAACCATGGAGACTATGCAACAAGAACTTTTACAATTGATATGTGCCCTTGTTCACTGGTGGGAAAAGGCCATTGATGGAGAGGGAGATTATGATGCACAAAAGCTGTGTATTCAGTGATTTCATACAATTTTTTCATAGACGTTTAATATTTTTTTCAATAATATTTGGCTGAGAAAAATATAGGACATTACTTTCTAACTGACCCTTGTTTAAAGAACACTAAAATGCTTTAGTTGAAAGCAGCTGCAAAATGCTTTCCATTTGTAAGAGGTATTTTTGTTTTCCTTCCCAGATTAATTAATTTGGAAACAGATTGGAATGGATGCTGTGAGCCTTGGTTTCAAGCTGCAGAAAAATCAATATGGTGACTGTGACAGATATTAAATGCAACTATTTCATTCACTGAAGTATAATCAGACAGAAAGATGAAGAGCCTCCAGATCCATTGCAAATCGCTTTAGGTGTTAAAAGTAACTCTTTTGCAAAAAGTCTTACATCTCTAAAGGCACATAGACAATGTCATAGGCTAATTTTAAATATTATGTTTTGGTAACCCTAAGTCATTCCTAAATGTCATGTTTTAATAATATCTTAGCTGGTTGTAACTAACCATCTAGAGTTTATGCATGACCAGCTAAACTGTTTTGATGCCTGCTTTTGTTTACAGCAGTTGCTAAGTAGTAGGGGTGTGCAAAGCAGGTCCTGTTCTATTTGGATTTGGATTCGGCCTGAATCGGGGACAGTGATTCGATTTGTTGGTTTGGATCACTGTTCCTGATTCGATTTGGCCGAACCTGAATCTGAAGATTCAGTGCTGATTCGGAGAATCAGCGATTTGGACATAGACACAGCTTTAAAAGTATTTTCTACATACCTCGAGGTACAAGTGTGGCCTGTGAATGCTGCAATGCTGGGGCACATGGAGTGTCCCACAGGAGTGCGAGGGCCCTCCATGTGCTAGACGGTGAACCTGGAAGTGGACAGGAAGTACTTATGATCCACTCCCAGGTCCACCAGGGAGTGCACAGGGGGCAATCAGCTGCAGGGGGACCCTGGGTGCCCCCCTAGACCCAGAAGGCACCAGTCACCTTGCTGGGGAAACATGGGCGGGCCCCCTGCGTGCTCTCCAGCAGATGCAGAAGTGAACCAGAAGTGCTTCTGGTCCACTTTCGGGTCTGCTGCCAAGCACGCTGGGGACACTCCCGTGCTTCTGTGGGACATTCCATGTGCCCCAGCATCACAGTGTTCATGAGCCGCCTGCTACCTAGAGGTATGTTGTAAAAACATTTAAAGCTGTGTCTATGTCCAAATTGCTGATTCTTTCTGAATCTCTCCAAATCAACTCAGAGGGTTCCGATTCAATTTTGAGAAATTAAAGGGTCCTCTGATTTGATTCAGATTCAGAGATTCAGCCACTGAATCGGGCCGAATCAAATCAGGGACCAAAGCGTCACACAGCCATACTAAGTAGTTTTTAGTATGTTATTAGTGTTACTTAACATCGCTTCTAATATAGTTCATTTCTCTAGTATAGATTAGACCTCCAAAATTAAAGACAAGATGAATTTGGGGAGGGTTGTACACCTTTTCTTTATATAATATATTTGTGTTTGTAATTTGCATTACTGTAGCACCTAGAACTTTCATCTTCAACCAGCACCAGAGCTTGAAAGGATTATTTTGGAAATTCATATGGTTTTTGTTTTATCTTTTCAATTCTAAATATTACAAATATCTTCCCTGGTTTAGCTTGAGATCTTATTAGAGAAGCAAATATGTAGAACAGGAGCTTAGTTCCTAATTAAAGGGAAGTTGAGGTTGAATCTTTTTCAAGAATTTCTACAACTGTTTATCTGGGTTAAATTAACAAAAAAACAGCCTTCTTTCTGCCTAGACCCACTCAGCTACTCTGGCAGTCCAGAAAACAGATTGACGAATGTATCCAAAAGAGAGAAGCCACCATGTTTTCAGGAAGGAAAGAGCTAAGGAGAGGGCATTCCCTTCAAAGGCTACAAGAAGGTTCCAAGGAAAGTATTCAGCTTGGCCAGAATCTGAACCACTCCAGAAATGCAGCACTATTTCCTGACTCATTGAACACGTCTACACATGTGCTTTAATATGCAGTAGACTATTTTACTGTACATAAAAGCATCACGTAAAAAAAACACATTATGCTAATGTGCAGTAAAATAGTCTACTGCTATTTTTTAAGCATCGCTAAAAAAAAGGATGCAAATGTACTACTGCGCATTAGCACAGCCTAATGTGCAGTAGTTTAATGCCTCACACTGGAAGCACTAAATCTAATGTGCATTAGAAAAGGTGGATTACTGCATATGTAGATGCGCCCATTGTGAACTGCAAAGGCAGTAACAATTGGCATCAGGAAACCTACCAGGGAAAGGGGTAGAGATGCACCTCATAGACTAACTAAATGATAGATGCACAAGGTTTCATGAGCCAGAGCTCACTTTATCAGATGCTAGGAAAAGATGGGCAGAGCGGGCTATCAGACTGGGAGGGTGATTTGAATAGAAAAGACAGGGGAGGGAGAATGGGGAAAAGGTGGGGCAGAGCAGTGCTAAGATTAGCAAAGAAGCAGTAAAACCCATACAGACAAAGGGGTCACAAAACCTAATCCAAGAAGTGTGGTAAGATTCCACAGTCCCTCTATTTAACACAATCCAGTCAATGGATGATTTCTTGCTCTGCAATTGTGTGTTCAAATCTGCTTTAAAGTTTCACTGTACAGTATAAGAAAAGCTACTCTGAGATCAGCCATGGAATGTGCAAGAAGGATAGTGTTCTGCCACAGGATTGTGTGTGTGTTTGGACTTAATGTCAGATCAGTGCAGCCCATTCTTTCACATACGGATCACCTCATCTGGCCAATATAGATGGCAGAGAGGCACTATGAAGTTTCAGTTAGTCTATAAGGTGGATATCTACCCTGCAGTTTGCCTGATTTTAGACTAACATGGCTGGCTACCTCTCTGGTCAGAGAAAAGCGTGTCACAGTCCCCAGAATAGGGAACTTTTCATTTTTTTAAGTTAGAATGAAATGTAGACTTCCACTGCAGCTCAAGGGGAAAATGTGTCTCCCACTCATGTAGATGAGAAGTCTTCCCAAAGGTCAACACAATACACAACCTCCAATTAATAACTACAAGTTAAGCTAGTTATTCAGAATCACAAGGCACTTTTATACAAACTAGTTACTGCAAGGCAATTGGAGGCATGGATTTGCTGTGTCAGCTACTCTGGGGTACTTCCCTGGTGCATGCTCTTGCTCCATGTCAGACAAAAGCTAAACCTGCCACTGAGGGGTAAACTACTTTGCATTAGATAAAGCATATCTTCAAGGAAGGCTTTCAGTGTTGATCTGAAGACAAATGATGGAGAATCCACTTCTGTTCTTGGTCATTTGTATCACTGGCTAGTTATCCTCACTAATAAATAGGTATCTGGTTCCAATTTGCATTTGTCTGGCTTCAGCTTTCAGTCATTAGCTTTTGCTCTACCTTTTCCTTCTACGTTACAGCCCCAAAGAACTTTTCCCCCCTTGTGAATGTACTTTATTTACTATAAGCAAGTCATCTCTGAATTAAACAGACTTAAGTTTTTGAAATCTCTCTACAAGGTGCTTTTCCAGCCCTTGAATATTTTGTGTGGTTCTTTCTGCATCTTCCCTAATTTTTCAACATCCTTTCTAACAGGTGGATACCAGAACTGGATGTACTAATCCAATCTCTCTAAAGCTGTTATACAGAGGTAAAATTACCCCATCGGTAATACTTACTTTTTCCCTTATCATTCATCCAAAGACTGCATTATCCCCTTTGACCACAGCATCATGCTGGAAGTTGTTGGGAATTACATATTCCCTATATGTAGATCCTTTTCAAAATAATTGTATTCTTGGACAGTTCCTTAAGTACAGCTTGTATTCCTTGGTCTGGGAGCTCTGGCAATTCATGCTGTTCCCCTTATCTCACCACCAAAATCTGGACCCATGGGTAGACTTGTGGGTCAGATACAGTCAGTGGGCTGTATCTTGATCACCCTAATTTCCTACTTTATTGAATCTGTGTCTTCTACAAATTTTATTACCAGTGTCTTCTACAAATTTTATTACCAGTGATGTCTGTATTTTCTTCCATATCATTGATGGAAAATGTCAAATCAGGTTTGGGTTTACTACAAAAGTAAATGGAACCCCACTATACACTTTTACATGAGGATGAGGGTGATGAGTCCCCAGTGACTAATACAATTAAAAAATGATGTTAGCTAAATCTTATTAACAGTGCTTTATTATTTCTACATAGTGCTATTTTTAAACGACTTTTTCTAAGTCAAGCACTTTTAAACAGCATCTAAGCCCCTACTTTTCAATTAAACTTGTCTCATAGATGAATTAAATCAGACCTGGTTTACAAGTCTTAGCCTTTTAATTCTTCAGCAACTGCATTCTGATCATCCCAATGAGACTACTGAATTTATACTTCTTAGCCTTTGTTTCAGGCTGTCTTCAAACTCAGGAATACATTACTATATTGGTTATATTTGGAAAGTCATACTCAAAACCAGAAGAGTTAGAAATTTCTCAGTTTGTGCAAAAATCTTAGGCTTTTATTTTAAATCCAAGTATGCCATGCAGGACATACAAGTCAGTTAGGTGTCTGACATCTGTGCTCAATGAGACAATTGCTAAATTTCTATAAATCATTTAAAGTCATAATCTGCATTAACCTTTTATAACCTTTTCATAGAAATCATTCTGTATTCACTAAGCGTTGTAGGTTAAGGAAAGATCCAGTGTATTCCACACATACTTGTGATTCCTGTTTTGTATACTGCTGGGCTTAGTGGCTTCTTAATATATTGACATTTTCTCCAAGACCAGTAGTGCTGTAAAAATATCTTGACATACCTGTATAGTGATTTTCTACTCATAGGAAATCCAGGTCTTGAGCTATTTTGGCTGAAAATATTCAGAAAATATATGCAAGAGTTCATGGGTAACAATTTACTACATTTAATTCAAGACTTTTTTCTCCCCATTCAATGGCCTGAGGGGGTGGGAGGCAGGGCAAGCTGCTTGCCCCCTTCTCCCTGCCCCACAACCACCTGTCGCCCTGCCACTGCTTTCCCACTGTAACAGCGGGAGGGGGTGGAGAGGGGGGAACAAATGTGAAGGTGACCATCCAATAATTTAGATTCTATACATGGAAAACTATAACATTTATAATTTTTCCATGTATAGAATCTAATTATTGTGGGGCAGGGGGAAGGGCAAATCATCTTAAATTTGAAGTTGTCTTGAATTTGGAATATGGTGTTTTGTGTGCCAATCAAACATACCTGAAAATAGGAGAAAAGATCTGATGTGGTCTCAGAACTGCACTTCCATGTATCCATCCAGGAATTACATTACATTGTCAGAATCCTCAATATGGTCAGTATTCTGTGGAACAAATATGCCCAGTGCAAAGTGACTGTTGCAAACACATCTTATTTCATGCAGAAAAGAACTGTAGCTGTTATGTAAATCTGAAAGGTACCTTTGCTTTTATTCACGCAATGTAAAGTAAGTAGATAGTGTTAAAATTATTTCTTGAACTACCACCACACTAAAGCAAACTTCAGGAAAACTTTGTTACCAAAACTGTCAAACCCAGTCTTAAATTTTGTTTCATTCATATCACTGCTTATTATCATGGCATCTGCCTGTAAAATATCTCTTCTTTCTAATACATCACTTTTGTCTGATGCATTCCCTAGTCATAAATGCTAAACTTGAGTCATTGCTGAATAAATAGAGAATAAGGCTGGTTATCATAGTCATGTAAAGTAAAGATGGAAAAGCTCTATTAAATCATGCACTGATTAATCTTGAAGGCATGTATGTACAAGTTTTCCTACTTATGGTATCCACTCATTTTTGGATATATTCTGTGATGCATCAATATTGCATTTGTTTTAATGAGTGCACCATATTTCCTGTATTTTTTCTCCTTTATGCCCACGACCATTTTCTCTTTTCTACATGTTCTGTTTCATCCCCATTTCCTTTGGTCCCTCTAATCCAATTGCTCTAGCTGGCTTGTCCAACTTCACAGGAGCATTGCACTGAAGTGGTATTTGTTTCAAAAGTATGTTGTGATCTGCACATAAAAGTCTGCAAATAAGCTTGTCTTGAATCATTCCTTTCATGATGCCAGTGTGAACCCCTTAAAATGGTAAGTAATTATTTGGGAATAGTCCTATTGACTTAAATTTGTCTACTCATGTAATTGTTTAGGAGTGTTGAGTTGAAAGGTGTAAGCACCAAGAACCAGATTTTGAACCTGTTAAGTAGCAGTAGCAATTGTAGTTACCCTCCATTCTCCTTGTTTAACTTAGCTATTCATAAAGTATTTACTTTTTTGCAAGTAAGAGAGCTTTGTTTACCTAATGCACATGCTTTGAGGAGTTGCAATCATGATGGGAAAGGAAATAGACAATACAGAAAAGTGACACATTTTTGAAACAGCAATTTTACAATTTACAACCTTGTTTTCTGACATCTGAGTAGCCATATTATGGCTTAGGTTCATGGATCATTGCAAACTAGATCTAAGAGTTCCTCTGAAGGTTCTTAAAAATACTTATTGGGGGCTGGATAGTAGGGAGGAGTTCAGTTACACTCTACTTGTCTATTTCAATTATTTGTGTGGGAAAAGATTTTTCACAAGTAAAGTAATTTTTTCAGCTGCTATTTTAATAATCTGGTAAATCAAAGCAGCTTTGTTTTGAAACTTCAGGTTTGGCATGTAGATTGTTCCAAATGATGAATATGTGCTTTGCAGTCTTGAAGGAAATTTGGTTTGGAAATAAAATTATGAAGGCATGAAAATTCTGATGCATAATATTCTCCTTTATGTTCTGTCTTTAAGCATGCATGAAAATTAAGATATGAGCAACTGTTTCTGTAATCTTTCTCCGCAGTCTGTGATAATAGTTCTTCATCTAAGTAATTCAAAGCATCTTACAAAGCCCTGAGGGGACAAAAAGGCATTGGAAGCATTGTTCAATAGGTTGGTAAGTGAGGTGTAGAATAGTTGACTCATTTTTTCCTAAAAAGAAGTTGTTAGAGAAGTAGGTAAGACACAGCAGTTAAATACTAGTTCCCAACTCAATGTGTTTTCTCAAACAGTGCTCAGCAACCCAGTTTGGGTCAGAGGTAGTAGACAGGCAGGTACCAGGACCCAGTTACCATGGGCAGAGGAACCACAAATGGTGCCAGGGGAAGCCCCACTTGCAAGGGCTGGATCAAATGGCTCGGGCGGCCAACCCATCCTAGAAAGCTGTTGTGTATTTACAAATCTTTGGGTCTCATATAGGCAATTTACATATATTTAAATAAACCAGTCCTTAATCAGAATGAACATTGTTCAACAGGATTCCTGTCAATAGCTTTTAACTTGTTACCTGTCCGAGTAATTGTATACAAGCAAATTTGTGTCTAGTCACTTTTGGGACTTAATTAAGTACTGGGTGCCAGTGAAAGAGAAAACTGCAAGCTGATTAATGAGTAAACCTCCTCTGCCCGGAATGGGAACAGTTCCTTTTTTGTTTTAAAAGCGTAGCAGGATTTTGCCTGGTCCATGTCTGCCTAAAGACTGTTTCTCATAGCACAAATGTATTTTTTCTACACCAGTGTAGCATGCAGGCCTTGCTTAGCTCATCAGACCACACTACTGCCTCTGCAGTCAGAAGTTCTCAGTTCAAGCTTTTGCTGAGAGAGATTCTTTATAAGTAAGGATAATCCTTCCTATTCATGCTACAAATAGGTGTGGTTGCTTAAAACAAAACTGTGATTCATATATATAGTTCCTCCCCAAGTTACTAATGGAAGAAAGAATTAAAGCAGCAAACAAGCCTCACTATGCATAATAAAACATAAATCACAGTGGCTATTTTAGACTATCTCCAGATGTGCTGGCCTGATGGGACAGTTTTTTCTGTCAGAGACAGGTATCCCATGTAAACAAATATCCTTAAGGAAATCATGACACTAAGAAAAAATAGCATATCAAGCCAAACTCCATCATTCTTCCTGTCCCTGTGAAATAACTAGATGATTCTAAACTGCAAAGTGAGCAAATAAGATTCTCATAACACGTAGCCCAATGGAGAGCCACCCATTAGAGGCAGCTCAGCTGAAGTTTTAGCTGCATGATGGGTGGTTACAATCAGCATGTTCCAGGCAAGAGCTCTTCAGTACAGTATGGGTTTCTCCAGCAGCTTGCCCACTTACTGATTTCTGCTTCCTTTCTCTCTGTCTACGGTTTAACTATTTTTTCTCTTCTTTTTAGGTTACTGGAGACTTCTCAACAGAACCTTTTCTGTATTTTCTTCTATGTACTTCTTGATTTCCTTCCTTGGAAGCACACAACCTGCACATTAGTTAGCAGGCTTGTTTCATGGCTCTAGCACAGTTCAGACTCGGAAAAAATCCCTTTCCTTTTTTCCTATGGAGAGTTGTGCAGGTTTTCTGAAATGTACCTACATGTTGCAGAACTAGACACTTACTGCTCAATAACATTTGCTTCTACCTCCCTGCTGTCCTGGTGCAGTACTACACTACCTTCCCCTGACTTCAGCAAAATGGAATAGGCAGCAGCTCAATTGTCATGCGTGCAGCGGTTCTCAACCTTTTTTGTACCAGGACCTGTTTGTAAATATCAAGGGCCAGTCCTGACCCAGTGCCCCTCACTCTTGGCCCAATGCCCCCCAGGTCCCAGGGTGGGGGGAGGGTGTGGATATGTCGGGGGGAGAGGAGCCCCAAGCAGCCCCTTGCAGGCTGGAGATCTGCCAGCGTGCAAGGGAAAAGCCACAATTTGCCACATTTTTCTCCTTTAAAAGAAGAGTACATTTTTAAAGCTTGTTGATCCATTTTTGCTGTGTTTTTGGTTGTAGCCGTGTTGGTCTTTTCCCCTTGACCTTTTTGTCCCCCATTTTCTTCCCCCTCCTTCCCCTGCTTTACCTTTTGTTTTCCCACTTCTACCTTTTTATATTTTCACCTTCTCCCATTCCTGCTTTCCTGATCTCCAACCATTCCCTTTTTCACAGACTGCCTTTTTCACCTTGTATTTTATCTCTCGTTTCCCTGACTTCCCTCCCCACCCTCTTCCCTGCTTTTCCTTTTGTCTTGCTTATTTCTATCTATTTACATTTTCACTGCCATCCTGCCAGGCTTCTAGCTTCTCTCGTTCCTCGGGGTCTCAGCGACTCCCCACACCAAGAACTTTTTCCCAACCACTCAGGTGGTCTAATAAAGATACTGCACCTACTCAAAGAACCGTGCCTGCCTTGCTCCATTTTTAAAGTCTGTCTGCAAACCCTTTCATATATTCTGGTGACCCACGGGGTGAGCAACGCTGCTTTGTTCCCCATTCTTGGTAAACGCTCACGAGAAAGGGAAACCTCTGACTAGAGATCAAACCCCTCCTCAGAGCGGGCCTACGTCTAAGGAGGTTGTCCTCAGCCAAGGGCCGCGAGGTCGGTCGACGGGCGCATGTGCGCCTGGCAGGAAAGGCGGCGGCGGGGCCGGGCGGGGACAACGGGGCGGCAACTGCCCCCCAGCAGCCCGCGGGCGGCCCCGGCCAGGCAAGCTGGGCCAC